TCCTCGGGGAAGGGAGAAGAGGAGGAGGAGGAGGAGGAGGAGGAGGGAGGCTGCAGAAGGCGTTTGCACGTTCTCCCTTCCCCATCCCCTCCTGCAGTTTTACAGGCTAATTACCAGCATTAGGGAGAAAGGAGCGGGAGGGGGGGAAAGTGGGGATTTTAATTATTTCATTTAACACTTGGCAGGACCCAGCTTGACTCCTGCTGAGCAGCACTTGGAAATAAAGAGCTTTTAAAGCCTCTCAATGGGAGATGAGGGAAGCGGGTGCGGGATTCGGGGCTGGGGTGGCCTGGCTCGTGTGCTGGGAGGGAAAGGGATGTTAATTCACACCATTCCCAATAAACAGCCGTGCCAGGGAGTGCTGGATAAGGGCTGTCTCTTCTGAAGAGGGGGGTTTCATCACTTAATAACTTTGTCCTCAAACAAACCCTTCCTGGACCAGGCAGCATCTCCCAGACATCCTTAGGGATGCCTGGGTATGGAATGGGCCACATGGGTGTGCCCAGGGGCTACAGGTCACCCTCTCCCAGCACAGCAGGCCCTTCTCCAAGCCGGGGGTCTGCACACCACTGCCTGTGCTCAAGCTGCACTGCCACTGCCAGGCAGCCCCTCTGTTAGCAGGTGTCCCCCCCACGAGCACCCCAAAAAGCACACCCTTGACCTGGGACTAGCTCAGTTGTTTAGAACCTGGTGCTAATAATGCCAGGGTTGTGGGTTCAATCCCTGGATGGGCCATTAATGACCCTTGGGGGGTCCCTTCAGAGTGTTCTGTGATCCTCTCTCCCACCCAGCTCCTCGCATGCAGTGATGCCTGTCCCCTTAAAAAATCAAAATTAAAGGAAGGTTTGCACACAGAACTTGGTGTCTGGAAGGACAGGGCTGCCCAAAAGGGGGCACACAGCGAAGCAAAAGCAACCCGAGGGAGGTGAAGCTTCTCTGTGCTGTCACACAGCTTCTGCTCTTCAACAGAGGAGCCCAAGGACTCTGGCTCCTCCATCCCTGGCACCTCTGCCTTCACAAAGCCAAACTGCTGCCCCTGGGCACTGCTCACACGGACTGCTGGGCTCCCCTGGAACCCCCATTCCCCTCTCCAAACACGGCAGCCAGGCTGGAACCCACAGCCCAAGAGGATTTTCCAGACCAAGGCACCAAATCGGGGATTCCACGCCTTCAGCAGCCTCTGCCTCCCTCCTCCCCGGCTCCCAGGAGAACCACGGCACTCCCTGTGCTGCCAGGGCGCTGGGAACAGCCCCCTGGCTGGAGAGGGGACAATGCTGGGCACGAAGCCCCCCGAGCGTGTCCCCTGAGCTCTCCCCGAGCTGCCCCTGCAGCCCCAGCCCCGCG